GTAACTTTAGATCCTTAGCCTTTTTGGGTTTATGGGGTTTCTTAATGAGGCAGCTAAAAGTTTAATTTTTTTACTACCCTCCTGAGTGTAGCCAAGTCATGGTTCCTGCAGCTCTGCACTTTCCGGAGCCTTCGTACCTGTGAGGCCTGCCACGTGCTTGATGGCTTTCTCCGGGCTCTCTCCGGCGAAGGCGTTCGAGTTTGGGGGGCTGCTGGGTACTTCGCTCTATGCGCTCAGGCTCGGTCGTATTCTTCAGGCTTAAGCCCGAATGCTTCCTAAGCCCCCTAGCCCCGCAACCCTACAACCTACACTGCCGAACCCCAACAACTCCAACAGCCCCAACAGCCCCAACAGCCCCAACAGCCCCAACAACCCCAACAACCCCAACAACCCCAACAACCCCAACAGCCCCAACAGCCCCAACAGCCCCATCAGCCCCATCAGCCCCATCAGCCCCATCAGCCCCAACAAGCCCCAACAAGCCCCAACAAGCCCCAACAAGCCCCAACAAGCCCCAACAAGCCCAACAGCCCCAACAAGCCCCAACAAGCCTCAACAAGCCCCAACAAGCCCCAACAGCCCCAACAAGCCCCAACAAGCCCCGACAAGCCCCAACAAGCTCCAACAAGCCCAACAGCCCCAACAAGCCCAACAGCCCGAACAACCCCAACAACCCTCACAGCCCCAACAGCCTCAACAAGCCCAACAGCCCCAGCAACCTCGGCAACTCCAGCGACGCCGACAACCCCAACTACACAACCCTGGAAGCCTGGAAGCCATCCCTAGAACCCTAGAACCCTTAAGGCCCTAAAACCCCACCACCCTAAAGCAGTAAACCCTGAAACCCTCAAGCCCCACAAACCCCAAAACTCCAAAAGGGACCCCTCCTAAACCCCACAAAGCCCTCTAAACCTCAATCGACACCCTGAAGCCACCTCGCCCCGCAAAAGACCCTACAACCCTGAACCCAAAACCCTAAAACCCCACCACATAAAGCTTTAAACCATACCACCCCTCCAAGCCCTAAACCCTAAACCCCAAACCCTAAACCCTACGCCCAAAGCCCTAAACCCTAGACACTAAAACCCGAAACCCTAAAAACACTACAAAACCCTTAACCCCCACAAGGAACCCCTAACACAGGCTTCCCTGGGCTTCGGGGAGAGCCGGGGCCCTGGGGAGTCCAGGGTTCTGGCTTCGCTTTTTCGTGTTGCTGCTTAAACTTAGGGTTTAGGGTATAGGGTATAGGGTTTAGGGTTTAATTAGGGTTCAGGGTTTAGGGCTTAGTTTTTAGGGTTTGGGGCTTAGGGTTTGGGGTGTAGGGTTTGGGGGCTGCCGGATCCTCGCTCCGTCGTCGAGGCTCTCGCTCAAAGCTGCGGCGCATGTTTGCTTTTTTCCCTTGAGCCGAAGGCTCGCATGGGCTTAAGCAAGGAGTGTACCTGAAATCATACATGGTCACTTCTCTGAATTGGGGTCTTTGTCATGACAAGGCGGTTTTCTTACTTAGGGTACCTAACACAGGACCACAATTTCGAGAACTCACCATATGGTCCCTAGTCTGGTTCCTTACCTTCTTGAACCTTTTTTGTCATAGTTGGGTACCATTTTACATTTTTAAGGGTACTTAAACCCAATAAGGAATATAAATTTAAAGTCCTAATCTATTATTCCAACTATGACCTAGCTTTGGTGTGCAAGCTTCTGGTTGGCACCTGTATTTTGCATCTGGAAGGGGAGGCGTGTCCTAGAAAGCCATGGAGACGCAATCAACCTAACTACAGGAGCCTATTCTTGATGACCCAGAATATCCCATGATTCTACAAAGCTTACCCCAAATATGAGCACTAGCGAGTTTGGCCCCTATATTTGACCAGGTGGAGGACCTCACGAGGGGCTGATAGGGCCAGTCCAAAAACCTCCAAGCTTTTGTGGCAGTTCTCCCCCACGCTACGAAATTTCCTTAAAGGGTATATAGAGGGGATTATAGGGTACCTCATTCCCTCGTTCACTTAGGGTTCAGGGAGCCATGTGGGGGTTCTACTTTTCGGATCCTCCCAGGGTCTGGGAGTTCGTCATCACACAAGGAGATCAGTGTTTGGGCTCGACGTCGGAGTAGGTTGGTGACTTCGAACCCAAAAACCCGAAGCCAGAAAAGAGTTGCACCCTATACCCAAAGAGCGCAAGACCCCTTAAACACGGAGTGTACCTTATTAAACCATAATTACTGAGGATCCCGAAAAAAAATCTGAACTAAGGGGTATCGCGTGCCCTCTGGGTGTCCCTGAACAGCCTGCCCACCCAGGGTGCAAGATGCTTGCGCGAAGATTCTGCTGGCCACAGACTCGGCGGCTCTTCCCGACCAATCCTAGGCCAGCCCTACCAACCCAGGGTTTAGGGTTTAGGGTTTAGGGTTTAGGGTTTAGGGTTTAGGGTTTAGGGTTTAGGGTTTAGGGTTTAGGGTTTAGGGAGGCCCTAAAACTCCCAAACCTCAAGCCCCAAACCTTCAGACCGCAAAGCCCCCAAGCTCTCAACCCTCAGTACCTGAAATCCTTAGAGGTCTTTGGGGGTGGAGGCTTGAGGGTCTATCCAAGGGTCGTGACATGGTCCCCTCAGTATGGCCTTTAAGTGGGGGACCCTTCAAACCCCTGATATCGCCCAGAAAGCGCAAGGGCCCAGCTTAAGGGACCATAAAACTACCCTCAGGGTCTAAACTTTGTCAGAGTTGGGTACCATTTTACATGTTTAAGGATACTGAAACCCAATAAGGAACATTCATTTAGATTTTTAAGATTAAGTCTGTGGGGCCAGGTCCCTTTCTGGATGCGCCCCCGAAGCCCAAAAAATCCCTGAACCTTGCAGCGCAAAAGACCCTAAACCCTAAACCCCGAACCTCTAAACCCCAAGCCCTAAACCCCAAACCCTATACCCTACACCCTAAACCGCAAACCCTAAACCCTACACCCCAAACCCTAAACCCAACACCCTAAACCCTAAACCCTAAACCCTAAACCCTAAACCCTAAACCCTAAACCCTAACCTAAACCCTAAACCCTAAACCCTAAACCCTAAACCCTAAACCCTAAACCCTAAACCCTAAACCCTAAACCCTAAACCCTAAACCCTAAACCCTAAACCCTAAACCCTAAACCCTAAACCCTAAACCCTAAACCCTAAACCCTAACACCTAAACCCTAAACCCTAAACCCTAAACCCTAAACCCTAAACCCTAAACCCTAAACCCTAAACCCTAAACCCTAAACTAAACCCTAAACCCTAAACTAAACCCTAAACCCTAAACCCTAAACCCTAAACCCTAAACCCTGAACTTCGACCTTCTTTGTCTCCCCCCCCCCACCCACACACACACACACACACACACACACGCGGTGAGACTTTGGCCCAGGCACGGTGCGCAGATCGCTCCCAAGACGTTCGCCTGGTGGCCTGGGCCTCAGAGTGGGTTAGGGTTTAGGGTTTGGGGTTTAGGGTTTAGGGATGGAGTTTGGGATTTAGGGTTTAGGGTTTGGGGTTTGGGGTTTAGAGTTTGGGATTTGGGGTTTGGGGTTTAGGGTTTGGGGTTTAGGGTTAGGGTTTAGGGTTTGGGGTTTAGGGTTGGGATGCACTTGGGGTTGAGGGTTGGGGGTCGTTGGGAGCTCGTAAACCCTGAGCCGTCAACCCCCAAAGCCCGAAGGGGCCCTACAGTAAGCCCCATCGGCTTCTCCTCTCTGAGAGCCCAAAGTTTCCCATGCTCCGGAAGAAAGGGCTTAGGGTTTTAGGGTTTAGGGTTTAGAGTTTAGCATCTCATGGACTAGCTTTCACTTGTAGCTTTCCCTTCCCAAGCAAGAAAATACACCCACCCACACGATTGACCGAAATTGCGAAAACACCGGTGGCCGATTGACCGAAATCACCAAAACACCGGTGCCGATTGACCGAAATTACCAAAACACCGGTGGCCGATTGACCGAAATCACCAAAACACCGGTGGCCGATTGACCGAAATTACCAAAACACCGGTGCCGATTGACCGAAATTACCAAAACACCGGTGGCCGATTGACCGAAATCACCAAAACACCGGTGCCGATTGACCGAAATTACCAAAACACCGGTGGCCGATTGACCGAAATCACCAAAACACCGGTGGCCGATTGACCGAAATTACCAAAACACCGGTGCCGATTGACCGAAATTACCAAAACACCGGTGGCCGATTGACCGAAATCACCAAAACACCGGTGCCGATTGACCGAAATTACCAAAACACCGGTGGCCGATTGACCGAAATCACCAAAACACCGGTGCCGATTGACCGAAATCACCAAAACACCAGTGGGCCGATTGACCGAACTTGCGATAAGGTGTAAATATTATATATATATATATGTATAGAGAGGGTTTAGGGTTTAGGGTTTAGAGTGTAGGGTTTTGGGGTTTTTAGGGTTGAGGGTTTAAGGGCTTATGGGTTGAAGGGTTGAAGGGTTGAACGGTTGAAGGGTTGAAGGGTTTAAGGGTTTAAGTGTTTAGTCAGGGACCTTTTCGCTAGCTTTTGGCAGGAAGTTGTGTCTAATTCCCTTACCAGGACCAGTATTTTACGCTGATTTCAGTTGGAGGGTTACGGGCAGAAGAGTCAATACCCGCGGCCGCAGTGGCATTCCCCGTGCATGCCCGAAACCCCCAACTCGAACCCGAATATTTTTCACTGCCTCGACTGTGAGCGAAGGACGGGACGTTGAGGGAATGGAGCCGACACATGTCCGCGGTTTCGGGCATTGGGTTTTTGGGGTTCAAGGATCAAAAGCAACCCGCCGGACTTGAAGACGAGGGATAAATTCCCAAACCAGGTTTGCCCTTATGTACCCCAGAATCATGGACCCCTTATTCCAGGAACTCCGCACTGGCCCCATTTTACCTCCGGGCTTTGGTTCAAGACGGCAACATACAATTGAATGATGCAGATGAGATCTTGCCCTTGCGTTTCTCGTGTTGGCACTCGCGAAGATGGGAGCACAGCTCACATGTGGCTGCTGCGCGAAAGAGGGCAGCCTTATCGACGATCGCCAGGATTCACGCATGTTCTTCTGCAGGAAGCCATGTGGCCTGGATGAGCTAGAGACAGACTTCAGCTGCGATCCAGCAGGCGCTTTCTTTGAAGACACGCTGCTCTCCGCATGTCTCAGCGAAATGGACAAGGTCAGCTTTAGCTTTGCAAGCTCAGCCAACTTGGCTGGCCTCAGGTGGTGTTTCGTCTATGGTGCCAATCCCACAGCCTGCGATAGCAACGGGACGAGTCTTCTGCACGTCGCAGCCCGAGCTGGCAGCTACCAAATCGTCAAGGACTCTTGCTGTTGCTTAGTAGGGAATGGGGGAATGAAGTACCCTATATATATATATATATGCACATATATATATATATATGTATATACCTTTTCCCTTTTAGGGAGATTACCTAATTCCCTCATTCCCTGCAAACCAAATCGTCAAGGACCTGGTCCTTCGCTCGACGGACGTGAATGCTGTTGACTGTGCTGGGTGGACCCCACTGCATGTCGCCAGCTGCATGGGGCGCCAGGATGTGTCTTTCTATCTCCTGCAAGCGGGCGCGAAGTCCAGCAAGACAGCCAGGGGCCAGACACCCGAGGATCTCTGCAGCCACCCTCACACCAAGGAGGTCGTTATCGGCTTTGAGGAGCGCCGGCCCAAAGTGGCGCAGGTGGGGCTCCCAACCCGAAGCATGCCAGCTTTCGACGCCATGGGCTCGGGTGATGAGCTGGGCGCCAGCTTGCACTTCGAGCCTTTTTTTGTTCCGCGGGAGCCGGTGCTGCATGAGCCCCGGCATCGGGAGGATCTTCAGCAGCTGGGCGTATCGATCTTTAATCGGAGTCCCGGTCACGGGATCGCCTTCCTGGTTGCCATCGGGATCGTCCGGGATTTCCCTGTGGAGATCAACAACTTCCTTGTAAGGCTCAATGCCGACAGGGAAAAAATCGGGGACTACCTGAGTGAGGAGTATCCGACAGCTCAGACGCTGCGCTTGGAGTTTTTGAATTCCCTACCCCTTTTGGGGACCGGTGTTCTGACAGCACTACAGACAGTGTCACACGACCTCACGCTCCCACGCGATTGGCTCAAGGTGGATCGGCTTCTGCGAGGTGTGGCGCATTTCTGGTGGAAGCAGCACGAGGAAGAGATCAATGAGCGCCGCAATGAGGGTGGTGCATCCTCTTTCCGTGATGCCCCAGATGATTCAGGTGGGAGGGGCTCTAACCCTAAACCCCGAACCCTGAAACCCTAAACCCTACCCTGTAAACCCCTGAAGTTGGGATGGTGCCCCTTTGTGCTAACCATCCTTAATAGGGAGTATAGCAGGGGGTGCCATAGTCCCTGTTAACTGGGTTTTTGGAGTACCTTAATATGTTTTTTTGCTTCTGGGTTCCGATTATAGCTACTTATGCCTACATAAAAAGTATTTATCTTTTTCCCGGGTCTACTCCCAACCCTAAACCCGAAACCCGAAACCCGAAACCCTAAACCCTAAACCCTAAACCCTAAACCCTAAACCCTAAACCCTAAACCCTAAACCCCAAAACCCTAAACCCTAAACCCTCAACCAGGGTGAAGGACTCCTAGTATAGGGTGGAACATCCCAACCCTGAAGCCTAAACCGATCTCTTGGTCTGTTTTTTGGGTGGTCTGCTGGTTCTCGGGCCTGCAGCTTCGGGTTTAGGGTTTAGGGTTTAGGGTTTAGGGTTTAGGGTTTAGGGTTTAGGGTTTAGGGTTTAGGGTTTAGGGTTTAGGGTTTAGGGTTTAGGGTCTTGGGTCTAGGGTCTAGGGTCTAGGGTCTAGGGTCTAGGGTCTGTTAAGTGGCACCGTCCCTATTGGTTCTTGTTGGGGACCTTAAATCATGCAAGGTACATAGCGCAGCTTCCTTTTTCTGGGTAGCTAATAGTTCACACGTTGGTGAAGAAGCCAGATGTAGATAAGTCAGCCATGTCTGAGCTAACAGCTCGCTGAAAGCAATCATGTCCTGGCGCATGATTGGGTCACTGCACGATTGCAGTGAATTGCACGAGGTTTGGATCTGCAAGACTGTGCATTCCTGCACGCAAATGGCTGCGGCTGCAACATCTAAACTTGCCGTGTACAAGCAGTCCTTGATAAGGATCATCGTGCCCCCTAGTATAGTCCTATTAAGGATTGTTAGTAAAAGGTGGAGCATCCCGACCCTAACCCTCAAACCCAACCCAACACCAACACCAAAGGCGATGTGGAGCCACCTGGCTGTGCTTGCGCCCCCCAAAATCGAATGGGAAAGGAGACGTGGGCCCACTCAACACAGACGTTCCTTTTGCAACTTATTGGGGGGGGGGGGGGGAGGGAACGCCTCCACCACCGGTCTTTTGATTCGTGCAAAGAATGGAGGGGGGGAACCGACCCAAAGTCACCGAGCGATTTGCCCATTCAGAAGGAGCGTGAGAGCTCGAAGGGCAGGGCTTAGGGTTTTTGGTTTGGGGCTTAGGGCTTGGGGCTGAGGGGTTTGCTATAGTATGGCAGAGAAGCTGTGAAGGTTGGGATGCAGACTAGGACGAGCAGCCTTTGCCCGATTGTGGAGGGCCATCTAAACAATTTTCATCCCACCCCACGCCGTCTCAGGCGGCAAACCACCCCCCAACCAATTCCTTTCAGGGTTGAAGCGTGAAGTCAATTCAACTGCCTGCTTCCAAAATGCTTCCTCCGTCCAGGGTTGAGGGGTCCGAAGACAGGGCTTCAAGAGTTCCGGTTTGGGTATCAGAGAAGGGGGGGGGGGGTCTTCTCGCAGCAAGGCACGAAGGGTCAGGGGTAGGCCACACACGATGGGAGTCAGGGGAGGGTCAGGGGGGGGCCACGGGGACCAGAGAGGTTCAGGGCTTTTGGGAGAACAGTACTGACCTCCTGGCTGTGGGAGGCGGGCAAGCGACCTGGGTCCCATGTGCGCCATAGTTGTCGAGGGGATTTGGCGCCACGCCCCGGAGTTCAGGCAATGCGCATCCCTGGCAAATAATTTGGTAGAAGCCTGGAAATTGTGCACATTGGCGAGTCATGTAAACGCGATGGCGAAGCCCTGTACATTCCAACGAAGACCGACAATCCCGGAGCCAGGAATCCAGGAATAGTAAGTGGGTCTCATTGAAACCCAAGGAAGCGCGAATAGAGGGCTTCCTGTTCGACTAAAATGCAAAGGATGTAGAAGGCTGCCTATCAAATCCTGTAGGAAGTAGAGGCTTCCCACTAAACATCCAAGGAACCCGGCCCTCCCAAAAAAACAACAAAGAGTACAGCTAAACCCTAAACCCTAAACCCTAAACCCCAAACCCTAAACCCTAAACCCTCAACCCTCAACCCTCAACCCAAAACCCTCAACCCCAAACCCTAGAGCAGATGCCCCCAAAAGAATCTCCACCCATTTGCAGGTGAGCTTTTCGGGCTCGATCTCCAGCGGGCCTTGCTTGGCACTGAAGGCTTCCACAGGCTGCTGTTCTCGACGTTGATGCTCTACAGGTGGCTTGGTAGCCCAGTGGTACCCTCTACCCTTTTTTAGGGTTTAGGGTTTAGGGTTTAGGGTTTAGGGTTTAGGGTTTAGGGTTTAGGGGGTTCCCTTATGAAGCAACCAACCCCAAAAAGGGTGCCCTTGTTATCACATGGTTACTGGGCTACTAAGGTGGCTGAGGAGCGGACACGAGATGTCCATCAACACCTGGGTGCAACTGAACGCCGGCATCGAGGGGGCCGGAAATGACTTTCCGTTTCATGTTCAGATGGCCATCCACAAGGCCGTGGCTTCCAACGAGCTACTTGGTAGTAGAGTAGGTCGCCTTTAACCTTTTTGGGGTAATCGAATCCGCCTATAATCCCTTATAATCCCTTGAGAATCCCTCTCTGATCCCTTATAATCCCTTCATAATCCCAGAGGTTCAGCTTTAGTTCCCCCAGGTTTACTGGACAACTCAGGCTAAAGCTGCAAGCCGACCGGGCAGAGCGGCTCGCCAAGCCTCCCTTCCCAGCTCTGCGCGGCCGCGCCTTCGTGCGCTACAACGGCCGGCCGCAGACGGACGGTGACTTAGGAGCTGGATGAGTGCACTTTTTTGGGATGCGACAATCCCTTATAGAACTGAAAAGTGTACATTTTTTTTGGGGGGGGGGGGGACCTATGAACTCAGCAACTCGAAACCTTAAACCCTAAACCCTTTTTCGGGGTTTAGGGTTTAGGGTTTAGGGTTTAGGGTTTTGGGGGGGGGGGGGGGGCCCATGAACTCAGCAGCTCTAGAAGGTGATCTGGCACACTGGCCTCAGGCATCGCCGCACGTCCTGGCTGCCGAGGGAGGCGTCCTTGCTGCTGGAAGCTTAGGAGTAGAGTAGGTAGCCTTTTATAACCTTTTTTTGGGGTAGTAGAATCCCCTTAGAATCCCCTTATAATCCCCTTATAATCCCTTTATAATCCCCTTATAATCCCCTTATAGTCCCAAAGGTTAACCTTTAATTCCGTCAGGTTACTGGACAACTAAGGAAGGATGTCCCCGCAGCCGGCTTTTGTGCAAGCCTCACGAGCAAGGACGGCCCTCACTGCTTAAGAACCCCCCCAAAAAAATATTCTTCCTTATGAAGGGTAACATGGGGATTATTGTTGTTTTTTTTGGATTCTTTTGGGGTTCTTAAGCACATAGTAGAGGACGGCCCTCACTGCGTTTGCTCAGCCTTTTGATGCTGGTGGGTCTGGATCCACGGACGAAGAGGTCTACATCCTTCTTGGGAATTATTCTTTATTTTTGTTTATACAAAACCCAAAACCCTAAACCCTAAACCCTAAACCCTAAACCCTATACCGTATTAAGGTTCTAAGGGGAGAAATAGAGGCGACATGGCTTTGCTTGCATCAGTGGCTGCTTCTGCTGGCCTCCAGCGATGGTGCGGCCCCGTTTGCCTTTGTATCTTGGTAGCCCAAGTGGCACCCTTGAAACCCTAAACCCTAAACCCTAAACCCTAAACCCTAAACCCTAAACCCTAAACCCTAAGCCCTAAACCCTAAACCCTAAATCCTAAATCCCAAACCCTAATAGCCAACCCCAAAAAGGGTGCCCTTATCAGAATATATTTCTTCTGGGCTGCCAAGGTGTCTTTGAAGAAGGTTGCGCTTCTTCGGGCTGATGCCCGGGTGCTGCAAGTCACCTTGGCGCGCAGGGTGGAGGGAGACTGGCCGTCGGTCGCCGTGCCTCAGGGATTTCTTGGGAATAGTTTTTAGTTTTTAGGGTTTAGGGCTTAGGATAATTCCGAAGAAGCAGCAAAAAGTTGTGGATTTTTGCTCGGGGTTGCCCAGGATCAGGGTTTAGGGTTTAGGGTTTAGGGTTTAGGGTTTAGGGTTTAGGGTTTAGGGTTTAGGGCTAGGGTTTAGGGATCAGACAAGAGGTAGATGACGACTGGCTGGAGCTGTGCCTTCTGCTCGGGGACGGGCGGTTTCAAGTCTTGGAGGCGCCCGAGCTGGTGATGAGGTGGCTGGGGGCATTGAATTGAAAACTTCATATTAGGGAAACCCTAAACCCTAAACCCTAAACCCTAAACCCTAAACCCTAAACCCTAAACCCTAAACCCTAAACCCTAAACCCTAAACCCTAAACCCTAAACCCTAAACCCTAAACCCTAGAAGGGGTGGAGGGTAGGGCAGTATAACCATATGTCTTGCCTAGAATAGAATTGCTAAGTGAGTGGCTGTCAAAGTTATGGTCCCTTTTTGGATCCCTATGATCATACGGCACCTAATATTTAGAGTACCCCAAAAGGGATCATAATTTTGACAACCACCCATAGGAAGCAGGGTTTAAACTACTGTTCTTGGTGAGTGTATATAAGGTTCCTTTTGGTACAAGAAAGTTATAAGCCCTACTTCACAGGTTTTTTGCATACTTAAAACCCAGCAAGGAACAAAGAAAGTGAGCATTTTCAGATAGTACCCCCCCCCCCCCAACAGTGGTGCAAACCCTGAACCCCTCAACCCTAAACCCTAAACCCTAAACCCTAAACCCTAAACCCTAAACCCTAAACCCTAAACCCTAAACCCTAAACCCTAAACCCTAAACCCTAGGTTTGAGGACGAAGCCGACTTCCAGAACTGGGCCGGATACCTGCGAGAGCTCTGCTGCGAGGATCCCGAGCGCCGCCGAGCTGCCCTCAAGGTTCCTTGGTAGCCCAGTGGTACCCTTTTACCCTAAACCCTGAACCCTGAACTCTAAACCCTAAACCCTAAACCCTAAACCCTAAACCCTAAACCCTAAACCCTAAACCCTAAACCCTAAACCCTAAACCCTAAACCCTAAACCCTAGACCCTAGACCCTAGACCCTAGACCCTAGACCCTAGACCCTAAACCCTAAGTTTGTTTTTTTTCTTGTTGGGTTCTAGTGGTGCCCCCACTTTTTTGTTTGGGTTCTAGCGGTGCCCTTTAACCTTTTTGTGTGGATTCTAGTGGTACCCTTGTGACTTTTTTTGTTTATTTGATTGGAGGGTTCTGGAACCTTTTTAAGCAACCGACCAAAAAGGCGTACCCTTATTGTAACATGGTCTTGGGTTTAGGCTTTGGGGTGTGGGGGATGTCCCCCTATATACTAATAGTCCGCAGTAGGGATGATAGTAGGGGCCACTATAATCCCTATTCAATACTGTTAGTGTTAGTACAAGGGGGGATCATCCCAAGTGGTGCCCTTGTGCCTTGTTTGTTTTTGCGGGCTCTTGGGTTCCCCTAGCAGCCAACCAAAAAAGGGTACCCTAATTACAATATGGTTTCTGGGCCACGAAGGTTCCGCCGGTGATTGTCGCAGGCCATCCGCTTCCATAGCCGTCCACTTGCTAGCCCAGCGGTGCCCTTGTCTGTGCACTTTGCTTTTTTGGTTTTGGGTCCCCTTATAAAAGTCACCAACCACTCAATAAAAGGGTACCCTTACTACAATAGACTTGCATGGCTACCAAGTCAAAGTTGCCCGCGCGTCGCCATGCACGTTATGTATCACCTTTCCCTGGGAGCTTTCGTGCTTTCCTCTCGCCTGGAAATCCCAAAACAAGTGATTCCTCAAGGCTTTGCTTCTTCCAGGTTTGGACAAGGATACTTCCCTAAACCCTAAACCCTAAACCCTAAACCCTAAACCCTAAACCCTAAACCCTAAACCCTAAACCCTAAACCCTAAACCCTAAACCCTAAACCCTAAACCCTAAACCCTAAACCCTAAACCCTAAACCCTAAGCCCTAAGCCCTAAGCCCTAAACCCTAAACCCTAAACCCTAAACCCTACACCCTAAACCCTAAACCCTAAACCCTAAACCCTCCTGGAGCAAACCCCTTCCAAACGAGCATGCGCCCCGAAGACTTCAAAGGATCCCTAATCCCTGCGCGCCAAAGTCCTCTGAACTCTGGGTTTCTGCGCCGACCCTGGCGAGAAGATATATCACTACTCGCAGCTTCATGGGTACTTAAAACCAC